ATATCTCAGATTGTTTTCATCCAAATTTCAATTTTAATTGATTTTTTTTCCCAATTAACGGAGTGGAGTGCCTCTGTTTCAGGTTTTGAAACAAATGTGTTGTACTCCTGCTTTTCGTAGCAAGAGTCTTCAAACAGATTGTGCAGTGAGGTGATTCTTGCTCCAAGTCTGAGGTTGTGAAACCTAACCAGTTCCAGAAAACTGAAGACACAGTGTCTTTTTTGGGAAGTAGATTCTTTCTGCTAGCTGCCATATTGTCATGTCGAGTAAGCATCTTGAGGGACAGGTGGGGTGACCTCTGAACTACAGCAGCCCCAAAAATTGCACTGGTGAGAAAAAAAATCCAGATTTTCCCAAARTGAAATCTTTATAAAYGGCAAACTTGAATTAATCGATTAAATCGATTTATCGCCCAACGCTATTGGCAACCCAGAAATGGCTGACATTTTCCTGATAATTTTACAGTTATAGCTGATTTATTTAGGTTCATGCACCACACGTAGGTCAGGTTTAGGTAAATGTTAGTTTAAAATACTAAATCTCCAAGGTTAGACATTTCTCCCATCACAGATTCACTCTGTGTTAACATTTGGCTCCAGTGTCACAGATTACATATCGCGGGGCTTCTAGATGTAACGATGAAGCTGTTTGGATAAATGGACGGCTTTTATGAAGAGAGGTTAAATGCTTGTTTACCACTTAGTGTTTAMAAGGCCAGGCCCACTCCCTGACAGCTTCTCTCTCACAGAGACACTAATGGGAACAACKGGAGACCATGTGCTGAATGCATTCACATTACGCTTTGAACTWAACTTCTTTGTTAACTTCCTGGGGGTCACCTCAGTGGTCCCCCCGTGTGTTAACTGATGAGATGAGATCAGGAAAGACTTAAACATTTTTTAAAATGTCTCTCCTTTAGGACCTTTTGGAGTCAGTTTAATTCAAGATGGCTGACGGTTATTTAAGCTGAAWACAAAAACAGTTATTACTCAGTTGTTTTTGCAGATATTAAGCTAAAATTCGGTGTGATAGTAGCCAAGAGTCATATCTAACATGTACTCTTGCTCCAGATCAGGGATCTGCAGCCTACGGCTCTGGGGCCACATGTGGCTCTTTGGTCCCTCTGCAACATCTTTTAAAGCATTCACACAATCGTGATCTTTTTTTTTCTTCCGTACGTTTTTCGGCATGTATCTTGTTCTGCAATTTTTGTGCTATTTCAACATTTCATGTCTCAAAACTTTCAGCTCCTTCAGGGAATTCCAGCTAAGACTTTTGGTTCTTCAGCAGTTTATACTTCTTGAGATCTTTATCTTTTCCTGCCATTTTTTTTTAATTGAAAATGAATGGAGCTGTCATCAACATCCTTAAAACCCTTCAAAATGTTCATAYATTTTTACTTAACTTTTTACCTTTGCTCCAGTTCTGCTTTTTATAACTCCTTTGTTCTAAGTTCAGCTTCCTTCGGCATCTATTTAGCTGATTTGAGCTTTTTTTCTGCTTTCTTTTTCTGTCTTTAGCTATCACGCTGACAGTTCCAGCATGATAGAATTTTCAGTTGCTTTCAGCTAATTTCAGCAGTTTTCTGTGTTTTTAGCTACTTTTTAGCTAATTTGAGGTTTTTTCAGCTAAATTTACCTTTTGCAATAATTTCATCTTCTTACCTTTGAACTCAGCAATATGCTCTGTTTCTCTGTGCTAAATTAAGCCATTTCAGATACTTTAAGCTTTTTTAGGCTTGTTTCAGATTTTTTAGCCACTCAGCAAAAATCTTCTAGCGTCAAGCATTCACAACGTATTTTTGCGAGAAATGCAATTTCTCAAGTTTTTATATCATTTTTATAAAAATGACTAGCTTTAGCAGTTTTCCTGTCAGTTTGTTTGCAAACGTGATTAATACCGAAACAAGGAGTAAAACGTTGATTAGATCATGCTTGTTAGTTTGTTGACCACTTTAGTAACCTAACTTTCAGTCTTACAGTCTGATCTTTCTTTATGATCCCTCTACCTCTTGTTCTTCTCAGAAAAGAGAGAGGAAATGTGGTGAGTTGTTTAAATCAGCCTTTTTCAAACATTTTAGCTTCTGCACCACAAAATAACAGTTGCAGAAATGTCTGACCCTGGATATTGTTGGTTTACATATGCTAACTTTGCTAATAGCTCCATTAAACATGTGCATACTAACACTATAAACTACTATGCAACTACTTTTATTAATTTATAATTATTGCCTTTTTTTATTATTTATTATAATTTTTTCCTTTGCAATAATTATGGTGAAACAATTCCATCAGCAATTTATTTGCATTTAAACTGCTGTCTGGAAATCATCCCAGGACCCTCACTTGATGTTTCATGACTCGTAGAGGGATCCCGACCCTAACTTTGGGAACCACAGGTTTACATTAAGAATAATAATCAGTGTTTTAATTTTTTTTTATAAAATTTGGTTTAATATATTTTTTTCCTTGTTTACAAGAACATGGTATTTTGATTCGTCCTAAAGTATAAAAATAATAATAAATGTTAAAATTTACTTTATATTTTCAGCTTTATAATGTCACCCTCACCGGCCGAAAAAGCCACAGTTCAGCAAACTCAAAGTGGCCCGCAGACCAGCAGYTGATAATCAGTGGTAGCATGTTTTACAGCTTATTAGTGAACCAAGGCTCAGAAATGGCTGCAGACCTCAGTTAAAGCTATTTATTTAAAACTTTAGAGTTCAATTTTGACATGTTTTGAATATCTTCAATGAATGCTATTTTCATTTTGTTTCCTTCTCATRCTTGGTTCTTTTTATCCTGTAAAGTGCTGCTGTTTAAATCTGTCACAGATTTACAGCAGTGGAGGTAAAATATTAAGGTTGTTTTTTTTATTTTGTACTGAAATGTTGTAAAGTTTAAYGTGACACTGAACTTATAAAATCTTATTGTGCTGCTGTTTGTAAAACAGGAGATAATTTGATTGTAAGTCTGAAACAGGAACTTTACTGCCTCGAGATGTTCTCCTCTATAGTTTTAGAAAATTTATTATACTGTTTACACAAATCCTCCATGTGTCACTTTACTATCTGCAACAGAGGGCAGATAAAACACTGAAACATTCCGATATACTTCCACAGATTGTCTTCTCCCCTCTGTCTTCCTATCTTTGTGTTCAGTGATTCAATTAAAACCACAAGGCCTCACTCATATTTTACTAAAAAGATGCTTTTGGATTTATGACTGTGGACTAAAACTCACTAAGATACTTTTACCATCTGATCAGAGGTGTACAAAGTCCTTAAAAGAAATAATGAGTAAATGTAAAAATAGCTTAAAAGAAAATTAATTTTGGTAAAAATGAATTTCACTGATTAGAAAAGTTATTAAGTAAAAGTCCTAAAACTGCTCACGATCATCAGGAAAGTACTTTTACACACACTGTAAAAACTAAAGTGTTGGATTTACTTCACTAAGTCATGTCAACTGGTTGAGTAAGTTCATTCACTCAACCAGGGAGATAAAAATAATGCAATTGTCGGACATGTTGAAAGCCTTGTTTTAACAGCCTGATCGTGAGCTCTGCTCTAAGAACGACTCAATCAATATTTCAAGACTTTCAACTTTTGAASAGTTGCTGATAAAGCAAGCATTGAGCTGATGAGACACTCTGAAAGAAAGAAACAAAACACACCATTGTTGACCATTGTCCTTAGATTTGTTTTTCTTCTTCTGTTGATATCGACTTTTAACTCTTGAAGATGATGGATACATTTAGGAAAATTCCAAACTTAGTTCTCAATAAAGATTATGAAAAAACATTATCATTATATATGTATATATTTTTTATAGTATAAATAGCTTTTTGAACAACATCAGTTGAAGAAATAGACTTTAGGCCTGATGAGCTAATGGCTAATCTGAGTTAGCCAAAGCCTAAAGTGAATTGTTGGTGTCGTAAAACGACTCCAATCTTAAAGGTTTGGTGTTTGTCCATGCAAATGCTATTTTATAAACCTTCACATCACTGAAAAATAGCATTATAATGACCTGCACTTTTATGATTAGCCATTAGCTTATCAGTCTGTTTACAAGTGAACAATCTCTGAAAAACGAAGTAMTAACTATTATTACTAGTGTATGTAGTTTTGTCTTTCAGCCTCCACCAGGGGGCACTGCTGCTGAGGCAGCACCTGCCTCCTTGAACTAAAAGAAGAAAGCTTTATTTTTGAAGCATTCCTTTTGAAAATAGTCACATCGGAAGAATAATGTGAAACCCATCTACTCTGGCCAATAAATGCTAAAACAGTCATTTATTTATTTTACCTTTACAACTCTTGGGATGTGTTTGAACCGTCCACTCGTTCACTAGTGAGTTGAGTAGTACTGTTCAGAAACTCAGGTCCACAGARACTACATCGGACAAATTAATGCACTGCATTCTGAGCTGACACAGCATGCTAACCGAGGCTAACGCTAACATCTGCAACTTTAAAAATACCTTTAAATATCGAGATATCACTAAAGAATATTTTCCTCTTCTACCTAAGC